ACGTAATATGGTATTTCTTTACATTAGCAAGCCTCGCTAACACTCAGAGCTAACCTGTAATGTACAGGAATTAAAAAAAGGAACTCACCTTGTGATAAACCTGCAAGAGAAAAAGCATTTGAGCTCCATACTGTTTCAGAAATAATCCTTGATGTGGTTTAGAACAGGATGGCGTTTTATCACAGCAAAAATGTAACTTTATTTCCGGTAGAATTCTGATCAGGCATTAGCTCCGCCTCCTCTTTTTTTTAAATTAAGCTATGGACCCAAAATCCGCGTTTCTCTAACAGGGCTGCAAAAGAGGGGTATGTGGGTTGGCTAAAATGCATGATCTGTTTGTATTTTGAGAAAAACACATCAAAGACAGACATTTTATATATTTGTATATATCTGAGACCCATAATATATGCCTAAAAATAGCATGATAGTTGCCCTTTAAAGCCTCATCTTCATTACTCCCGAGAAGTGTTAAGTGGGTCATAACATCAGCATGAGCGCAGTCATAAGGGAAGTGATAAAGAGGTATGACCACACTGTGAAAAAGGGCTTTAAAGACACAACGGGCCCCTTGCTGACTGAGGCCTCATTGTTCTGCTGTGGGGCCACGCTGTCCTGGACACAGACTCCTAGATAACATCCGACTTGAGCATGACTCACACCCTCCATCAGCAGCTGTGTGTGTTCGGCATTAAATAAACAAGCATCTGTTGACTCGCAGTCCATCCATGGAGCCTAAATAAAGCTTGAGAGTCTGTTAGCAAGAAGTCAGCTGCTTCTGCACACCAGCCGTTATTTTAGCCGTTTCTCATTAGAGGAAATCTAAGTACGAATCTATGTGCAAGATGGTGTAACCGTCTGCAAGATGTGAGTCATTTTTCACACAGGAGGCAACATAACAGGCTCCAAACTGAGCGCAGAATGCTGCTTGTATTTGGAAAAAAGGGTATTTTTAAACTGAAGTTCCTAGCCATAAAAGGGCCCACTCAAGGTACTTTCTTACCTTGTATGTGTGTTTTTATGAGGGTGATTTCCCCCCCTCTCCCCCCCCCCTGGCTACCTAGTGACGTGCCTAAAACTCCACAAACAAAAAGCGCTTTGTGATGCTGCTGTATGGAAGGTTCTCCAGAAGTCATTTTTTCTGAATGTCCCACTATAATACTGGCACTCTGGAAAGTGTTGGTAGGGTGGAGCATGGACAAGGTTATGAGGTGTGTCCTAAACCAATTAGTAGCCGTTCTATCAGCCCCGGACCAATTTCTAATAAATGAATGAGAATTGAAAATAATGTTAACCGAGCAGTTTTTTTTCATTATATCAATTTTTGTTTCTCAATGATCCCCTGAGGTTGTTCTCTAAGGTGCAATGTTATAATTTCATTTTTTACAATTATTATTTATCATATAAAACTACCTCACTTGAATCTATACTTAAATGTAGAGCATCCCTTATTTTATTGTAGAGCTGTACACTTCAAGACTGAGGCGATACAATCAATATCATCATACAGGGGCTACAATTCAGTATGGCGATGCATTGCAATATTGTATGCTAGGCAGTGTTTTGCGATTGACATTTTTTTTATTATTATGTTTTGGAAATATGTCATTGTATTAAGAGCACACACAATTTGCATATAATCTTTGTAAAAATAAGTTAAATTTGTCATGCTATCAGAAGAGTGGTAACTACATCTAGTCTATACAATATATGCAGAACTTTTTATTGTGATTATAAAAATGTATCAATATTTTCCTACACACTTACACATCAGAGCAGCAGTTTATATGTCACAGGCTGCGGAAATGCTGCCCCAACAGCATCATTACTTCAACTAAACAAAGCCCCCTCTTCGGCGGGAGTAAAGGGACATTTCTGGAATAGTTTCTGCCTCCTCCTAAAATGCCCAACCCCCTCTGACTCGACAGAGGGGCCCAGGATAAGGGGAGACGGATAAAGGGGGAAGGAAGAAGAAAGAAGAAGCAGCGTGCCAAACAGCACACGGCCTCTGAAGCCTGCCGTCTTCTCCTCCCACTAAGAGCATTGATTACCGCTTGTTCCTCATGTCTCTGACACCTCGTTCCCTCCCTATTTATTATGATATCTCTCTCTCGCTGTTCATCCCTCTCTCTGCAGTGTCTTTCACAGAGAGCTGCAGTCTTCTCTGCTGCAGAGGGCAGGAGCATTGCCATGACTCTGAGTACAGACTGAAAGAGAAAGAAAAGCTTGAACTGTCTTTCTCAGCTGCTGTGGCCATCTTCTTGGCAACTCCAGAGGCAGAACTGGAGCTTAAAAGCATCTCATTGTGTTGAAGAACAGCAAACATCTTTTTAATTAAAAAAGACATTGCGTTATGTGATTTGAATTCTCAACCCCTACAGAAAATGAGCTCACCTGTGATTTTGTGATCCCTTCTACGCTGTGTGCATGTCATAATGTCCCTGGCCATTGTCATGGGAACGGTTGCTGTGCTCCCTTGATCCAGAACTGAATGGTGCGCTGTCGGTGTAAGCGCTATGGGGAAAATGGAGTTATCATCCCATTTGATGTGTTTCTGATCCGCTAAAGATCAGCTAATGCTAGTGTAATGTATGAAAGGCTAAGAACCGGGATACTCTTCATGGCCGATGCTTTATATCAGAATTGAACCATGTCAGGTGAAAAGGGGAATTTAATTTGCTGGACAAAGGCAACAATCTAATCCAAGCTTTGCAGATATTGAATTCAGAGTGGGGGGCGGGGCATCCGCAGTACAATAGGAACCAGCAGGCAGATCAAACAGAGCCATCCCACTGGGCATCACACAGAGGACGACAGCAGCCGGCCTGTCCGCAGCAGCAAGGAGCTGCAGGACTCCAGAACACTCCAGAACAAAGTCCACTATTAAAGACGCTGCAGGACATGCACATCTGATGTTAAACAATACTCTGTTAAGCTAGTGGTTTACATCTGAATCTTGTTTTTATTCTGCGCTCTTTTTCTGGTCTATGTGATTTGAGTACGGCTTTTGCATCACTCGTACAGACACACTTTGCATATTACCTTTGCAGGAGTGCATGCAGAATGAGGAGTGAGTGACGCCACAAGAGGCAGACAAAGCCAAACGATATTCAGCCGCTTTGGCTAAGGCTCTGCTACAATAACACACTGAACCAAGATTCTCAGAGTGGCGGTACCTGAATGACCTCCATGCTTGTCCTTGTGAATGGATGAATAAGGTGCATTCTCTTTTGGCCTGCCTTGTCTGGATAACGGCATACCTCAAGAGTCTTTGTATTCATAGAGTCACAATGCTCTGAGTCTATGGAAACGGTTGTTAAATATATGTCTGGTGATGTGTAAACAAGGTAGAATAAAGGTTTTTTCTTTCTTTTTTTATACGGAAAATCTATATCTTGGAGCAGGCATTACTCGATCAGCATTGCAGATTTGATTAGGATACTTCACAAGGCTCAGTTAATCAAATTAATCTATTATTCTGCATTCTGATGTAGAATCCAAACCAAATTTGTCCTGCGCTACAGCCGACTCACTCCATACATGGCTTTGAGTCTCTAATCATTTAGAGTGGGAGACAAAGAGATGGATGGTTGTTAGGAAGAGCGGAGATATCTCTGACAGCTTGCAGCATCCTCCCGTCGTCTTTCTCTATACTGCTGTGTGTGTGATAGTGAGACAGAAATCACTGCAATGTTTCCCTGTCCTCCATGAAGCGCTCAGACTATTCTATCGGTTCTTTAGCTTAAAAAAAAGCAAGCAGGTTGTGTTTCTAGTGTTCGAAACGCACTCTTGTTTTTGTCTGGTGCTAACCGATGAGATATGGTCATTCATTTTAAAGACATGTGCCGCATCCATTGATACACTTCCCTGAGCAACTTCTTGGTCTTGTGTTTGTACAGTCTAGCAAAAGAGGAAATAAGAGGCGGACCACGGTCTTAATCACTCCAGAAGTTTCCTCTTACTCTTGGACAGTTGTTGTGCACTTTAATGGAGGGGAAGTGTGCTGAAGTATTTAAGACAAGGGGGGTCGACTCTCTCCACTCTTTCCCTCCTACTTAAATCTTTCCGAGGGCAGCATGTAATGTGTATGAAAGAGTCGTTGTCTGCGATGGGCCCTCTCTGGGTGAGTGCAGTAAAATGCCCGGGGCCATAAAGGTTGAGCAACAGAGATGCGATCTCTATCAAGATTGTTCGGGGTGTTTCGGCCTCAGCATTAAGCCTAGGTGTTATCAGGGCCTGAAACCTGTTACAGATGTTTTTAAGATCTGCTATCTTGATATTTATTTTATGCTTGCAATAATTACAATCTGGGATGTGTCCTTTTTAAAGGGATAGTTTGTACTGTTTTAAGTGGGGTTGAACGAGGTACTTATCCATAGCTGTTGTATAACAGTAGAGGACGGTCTGCACACCGCCAATTTGAAGAAGTAGGTAGGAGTACTGGCACGGAAGCAATGTACTGATGTGGATGGGGCCAGTAACAACACTTTTTCGCTACCTTAAAGAAAGGCCCTCCTAATTAATATCACTTTAAGTTTACATAATTGTTCACCAAATTGACATGCATAATTGACAGTACCTTGCAGAATTCTATCCTATAGACATTGGTTAGTTGGTTTGTCTTGTGTGACTTTTGGTTAATCGGAATTACCTAATTTAAAACACCAAAGTTGTATCATCACACAAACAAACCGATCAATGCAGCTATAGACTAGAAACTCTCATGTTCAGCTAGATAAAATGACTGTTTTTGCCAAAAGAGTACGCTGGCTTTCAAGCGAGTATAGACAACAATAGGGTGGTCCTTAGTGCCATGTACAGGTTGTTTAAATGTTTCTGCTGCCAACATCCATAGTTGCACATTGCTTGGCAGTACAATACATACTTTCTCTTTCAATGTTCTCAATACGATCCTGTGCCACCATTTGTGTGCTCAGTCTTCAGGAACAATATCGCTGATAATCTACTCTTCTAACTCGCCTGAATCTGTGTGTCTATTTCAGGCAGGAAGTGATGGCGAGAGCATCGGAAACTGCCCCTTCTCCCAGAGGCTCTTCATGATCCTGTGGCTTAAAGGAGTCGTCTTCAACGTCACCACAGTGGACCTCAAGAGGTGAGTCTGGCTCTCCGTCTCCATCCTTCTTTCTTTTTCTCTTCTGGAGGTTTCCACAAAGGCCTTGGCAGCTCTGTAGCGCTTTGATACAGCCCCACCCCGACACGCTCGCTACCTCCCCACTGCTTATTTGGTTTTCCCATGACCCTTTCTCAGGCCGGAGGAATATAAACACATAGACTCTGGAGAGGCTATTTAAGGTTCCACCCACTTCCTTTCCAGATTTTGGTGGGGAACATGTTATTTTTCACCACAGGAATCAGAAAACGTTGACTTCAAAGTAACGTATGGACTCCTGTAGCAGAACTTCTACCAAACCCATCAGTTTCTCTTTGGTGATTCATCACCCTACATTTTGTTCCACTTCCTAAGGCGGGACGGGCAAATGCCGGATTATTTTCAGACATCAGATCAACGTGTGGTTTATAAGGTCTTTCTGCGTCATGTGTGTATTGACTCAGAGATTCGAGACTTCTGCAGTAATGTTCCAAAACGCATTTCATCCGTTCTTTCAACACCGGGCGTCTCGCAACAACACAAATCAACAGAAATATAATGATAGATATTGGGTCTTTTTGACAAGTCATCTGGGTTTCTTCACACATGCATGCACAATCTAGATGACTGCTCAGATTCATTTCCATAGATTTTCCCTAGCGGAGGGCAAGTAGCACAGTACAGAGCTGGATGATCTCCTGTAAAAAGCAATGTAGGATGTCCGCCTACTTAGCAGTGTCTGTTTACCCTTCACTCGTCTGACAACCCCTTTGTTCAGCTGGAGTGAGTTTTGTTTTTTACTCCTCTCCAGGGGAACAAGAGATCCAGACTCCATGTGTTTTAGTGTCGGTAACCTTGAGTAAACATAAAGTGCATGTGTAATGCAACAGAAGTTGTGTGCTGTGTTTATGGCTGTTTTTATTGTAGTGTTTAAATGGGAGAACAGTGTTACACCTGTAGAAGGACATGTATGTCACATGTTAAGGTCTTCTCTTGGGTCAAGGATATCATGATCATATTTGTTTCTGTGATAAAAGCATGCGAGTCATAAGGAAGTTTTTACCAGCTCATCTTGGATATAAATCTGTAAGGGTGCCACTTCCCCTTTGCATTCCTAAGAGTTGAAGTCATTTCCTGTTCCTCTGTGCCCTCAGATGGCTTGTCCCAAAACACAGCCACCGCTGGAGCGTATTAGATTCTCTATGGATACATGTTGTTGCTAGTAACATAACATCAAAGAGGATTCACACTGTCTGCTGGCTAACACTAATCTGTTAGGTTCAAAAAGACACCGCTGTTAGTTTGGCTGCCTTTAAGCTGAAGGGATTTAAGCATCTGGGCTCTGTGGATTTCCCAAGTGAGTTGTGTTCACACTCCTCATTCAACACATGCTCATTTTTATGTCAGTGTCATCTGCCTGCCAAAGACATCTGGTACAAAATGTGCTGGTTTGAAGGCCGCAGAGAGAAAAGGAGACACAAACACACTCATGGGGACAGAGGAAAACACACATCACTCTCAATGTTTGAATTAGCTTGAAATATATATACCGTAATTTTCGGACTATAAGCCGCACCTGAATATAAGCCGCAGCAGCGGCATACCACTCTCGGTTCCACTTTTACTTTTGCGCGCTACCTGTCTCACTCTTTTCCGGCCTCCAGCTTTTCCTGCTGGAACCCGCCGCTTAAAGGTAGGGGTCCGCGGACCGGCCATAGAGCCCATAGAGTTAAAGGTGTTGGCCGTTAGCTGTAAAAATCCATAGATTAGCCGCACCGTTATATAAGCCGCAGCGTTGAAAAATAGGGAAAAAGGCGCGGCTTATAGTCCGAAAATTACGGTATATACAGTGAATGTGTTTACACGTATTCAAACAGACCAGAACCACTTTTATAGAGATTTTATTGGTTGCATTGTTACTTTTGTTCCCTTTTCTTAAATCCACTAATATTCGCTTAATTTCTCTTCCAGGAAGCCAGCCGACCTCCAGAACCTGGCCCCGGGCACACACCCCCCCTTCATCACCTTCAACGGCGAGGTCAAAACTGACATCAACAAGATCGAGGAGTTCCTTGAGGATGTCCTCTCCCCACCCAAGTGAGTGCCGTCTGTCTCAACCCTCCAGCCACGCTTTGACACACCTAATCTCTGTACACACTGCACACTGTCATGAGGACACTATAAGCTTTTAATTGCTCTGTTAGCAAGTATTTAAAGCTAAAGGCCATATAGATCTAGGTTGTACAAGGTTTTACCTAACCCATTTTGTTCCGATAAAAAAAGGTTTATTTATATGCACCATATACAACAAAACAAATACCTCGTATGTGTAAACCCATTCGGTAATAAAACCGATTATGATAGTGTCCAAAGAATATATCGGGTATGATAAGGAAAACATGTCAAAAGTCCACAAATATGACTATATAGAGCTTTTTGTTGATGTCATTTATAGACAATTAATGCAGGCAGTACAGAGAAATATGCTGTATCAGTGTCTGTCTTTCCAAACAACAATAGTTAAAAGGATACATTTATTTTCATTATATAAATGTTATCAACACTGCACTTTAACCTCCTCATATGTACATACAGATGTATATTTACCTGAGTGTGTGTTCTTGGGTGCAGGTACATCAAGCTTGGTGCCAGACACCCAGAGTCAAACACAGCTGGGATGGACATCTTTGCCAAGTTTTCAGCCTTCATTAAGAACTCCAAACCAGATGCAAATGAGGGTGAGTTATCTGTATTTGACACAAACACACACATGCAAACAGACACACGCATGAGATCAGAGATCATAAACCATCCAATTGTGTTTGGAGAACTGTCTGGTTGCTAGGCGAGATTGTTAGCCCTGCCCTGATTGGTGGTTTACAGCCTCACTCCGGAACACAGAGCTTTTGTTCCTCTTGTCCTCACCCTCCCTGTCTCACCTGCTGGAGCTCTCTGGAAAACCACACTGCAGCTATCCTGAGAATGAACTGGAGCGCACTATCTCCTCCCTCCACCTACACACTTCCCTGATAAGATAATTAGATGTATTGTAGTATGTATATAGTCTCCATAGATTCTGGTTTATCCTGGTTGAAACCATTTGTGGACTTGTTTCCCTTGAATGATTTTTATGATCTGCACAAAATACCGAGACGTTGTATCATGTTTTTAGTTGACCGCTCTCTCCACCCTGGGAACAATATTGAGCCATGGTGAGCTGTAGGTGAAATCCCAGGCTGTGTCAACAGAATTTTGGGCTGAATCTCATGGTTCAATGATAAGTGCTCTCCAAAGTTACAGTTCACAAGTACTGTTGAACTACTGGATCGAACATTCATTTTATAATTTCCAACAATAGAATGAATTGTTAGTGATTGATCAATAGACAGATGGATACAGGGTAAGGTCAAATCATATGTGCGATTAATTCAAATGTGTGGTGGGTAGTTAACTTATAATAAAATATTTGTTACAGCAGTGGTTCACAATGCTAGTGTTGCTAGGATTGTACTGGTGTTCATGATGTGTCTGTTCCCTGCATTAGTAGTGTTCATGCCCACTCTCTTGATGAAATGCTGCCCCCATGTGGTGGACCACTGGGAGTGGCACTGTTGAGCCCAGTTTAACATTGTTAAATATTATTTACTGAAAATAGAATTTAACTTAAAACTATCTTTCATAGGTCTGGAGCGCGGCCTCATGAAGACGCTGCAGAAGCTGGACGAGTATCTTCGCTCACCGCTGCCCGACGAGATCGACCACAACAGCATCGAGGACGTCAAGGTCTCCAGCCGCAAGTTCCTGGACGGGGATGAGATGACCCTGGCCGACTGCAACCTGCTGCCAAAGCTGCACATAGTCAAGGTGAGCAGGGGGGACTTTTAAACGTCACCCAATCATTGTAGTTGTGGTAGAACAAACTTAAATTATTATTACATTGAGATTGGTGACCTTATGTAATACGCAGCAGAGCTCCACCCTGCTTAAACCTCAGCAGTGGTCAGCCAGAGCAATTTGTTGAAATTGCATACTAACCTTCTGTTTAATACATAGTCAACCATAATGTATTGCCTATTCAATTTATGATGGTACTAGTAAGCTCACATCGCCTACTCAGACATTCTTGCTAATCTAGTATACATCCACGCCTTTCTCATATACTCAAAATTAACATACAATGCAGTAGTGTGTGTGTGTGTGTGTGTGTGTGTGTGTGTGTGTGTGTGTGTGTGTGTGTGTGTGTGTGTGTGTGTGTGTGTGTGTGTGTGTGTGTGTGTGTGTGTGTGTAAAAACAACTGTTTACCTTTCGGACGAATCTTCAGATTCGTCCGAAAGGTAAACAGTTGTTTTTACACACACACACACACACACACACACACACACACACACACACACACACACACACACACACACACACACACACACACACACACACACACACACACACACACACACACACACACACACACACACACACACACACTCTCTCTCTCTCTCTCTCTCTCTCTCTCTCTCACACACACACACACACACTGATAACCTGTATAAAGAAAATGGAGAATGTGTCTCTGAAGTGTCTCTCTTCTTATTATTTGTGTGCGCTTGTGTAGGTACTGAGATGATGGACAGTCAGCTGATGGGAGAATTTGAGTGGGACGTCAAAGATCTAGAAGCTGATTCTTGGAGCGGAACGATGGATAAGAAGTTCTTGAAAACGTTGAAGAAAGATGAAATAAAGAAACAAGACGTCATCTATGGTAGAGAGAGAGGAAGAGCTGTATGTGTCAATGCTCCGTTCATGTATGTGTACATAATATGGATCTTCTCTCCACAGAGCTGTACCAGACAGAGTTCCACCATGTGAGGACTCTGAGGATCATGTCGGAGGTGTACTACAAAGGCCTGCACAAGGACCTGCAGCTGGACAATACAACTCTGGACAAGGTGAGGATCGGCTGAGTGTCACACAGTTTCACTAGCAAGGACATTACATTACATTACATTTAGTTGACGCTGTTATCCAAAGCGACTTACAATAAGTGCATTCGACCACCAAGATACAAACTTGAAGAAAACAGAATCATATAAGAACATCAGGTTTCATAGAGCTAGAACATTTCAAGTGCTACTCAACTGGCTTTAGATAAGCCAGTCCTTTGTTACTATATAAGTGCTTTGTTAGTAATTCTATTGCTCGAAGTGGAGTCGAAAGAGATGAGTTTTCAGTCTGCGCCGGAAGGACCACCACAATATGTTGATTTACAGGACATATTGACTGTAATGTGAGTGGTGAAGGGTGTGTAAGGAGTAAAGGGCGAAGGGATAAGGGAGGGAGGGATTGTGGGGATGAAGGGAGGGAGGGAGGGAAGGGAAGGGAAGGGTTGAGTGGGTCACGAGGTGGTTGGAGGGATGAAAGAATATAGCGAGGGAGGGATGAAGGGAAATAGGAAGGGATGAAGTGATGAACGGATGAAGTGGTGAAGTGATGAAGGGATGAAGGGATGTGGGTACGGATGAGGTAGAATGGGGGATGGATGAGTGGAAGGGAAAGGGAGCATTGGAGACAAAGGAGGTTGGATGTGTTGAGCGGCAATGGTAGCTTAGCTGGTGGTTTCAGTAGTGGTGAAGCCCTGCTCCTGAACGTAAGCTAACCAATTCACTTCATTAATAAGATGTCATCAATAAAATACTTGAATTAAAATCTGTGGATCATTCTCTGTAGATTTTCCCTGTTTTGGATGACCTGTTGGAAACGCACACACATTTCCTCACCCTGCTCCTGGAGAGGAAGAAGGCTTCGTCCACTGAGGGAGAGGGCAGCAGCAACTTCCTGATCTGCAGCATCGGGGATGTGCTGCTCAACCAGGTGAGCAAGAGGAGAAGAAGAGTAACACTATTCCTGCTCTAGAGATAATGTTTGATACTTGACTCTTGTGATGGGGAGGGAGACAGACTGTACTGAAAGCTCCTCTGGTGATCCAAGGTTACTTCAGGGAACACATGTGCACACCTGGTGATCACTGGTCATCACACAATACTTTAGCAGTTCATATATAGTGGTGCAGTGATGACGTATTTTTGTAGGCTGACCTGGAAGTTAGTATCGCAAGGGCCCCCTCTACTAAAAGCAAAGGGATTTTCTCATTGGATATTGTAATAATACGGAAAATAGTTGAAGCATATATGCAATCGCCAGAAGAACTTACAATGTCATGCTATTAACAAACAACATCACAGTCTCATGACACGTCACATCAAAGCTAAAGGCGGCTAATGTTCACTTGTTAGCAACCGTCTTTTATGAAGATACAAAAAAAGCTTCAGACATTCACCAGTGGGGTATTTACTTGCTTTACTTTTTTTTATTTCCTAGAACAAAAAAAGAAAATTTCTTACGTTTTTATCAACCCTAGACAGAGACCGTATTGCGGGAATCAAACCAAAACCTAAAAAAAAGACAAGAAAACCTGAAAAAATGCTCAAATCTAAATGCTTAAACTCATTTTTGGGTTTAGGACTTATTCTTGCACCACTTCATGTAAGTTGTCATGATACTGACAGCCTCTAGAAGTTGTGCATTATGCCCCCAAACTACAATAACCCCATGATAATACACATGTTGGACTTGAGGCTTCATGAACTGTTGCCTTCTTTCTCCAGTGGGGGACATCAGAGGTTAGAAGTTATTTTCTTCAAGTTTAATTGAACTTTGTCTTCCTCTTGTTTGAATGTCCTATCATTCAATCAATACATTGAATTGTTATGGCCACATGTTATCATCCACTGAAATGTGAATGAACATTAAGAGAATTTGTCATCTGAGGGGATTCTGAAAGTGTTCTTCACTCCAGTTTTCAGGCTGCAGCGCTGATCGTATGAAGAAAGTCTACGGGAAGTTCTGCAGTCGCCACAGTGAAGCGGTTAATCTCTACAAAGACCTGCACGCCAAAGATAAACGCTTCCAAGGCTTCATCAAGGTCAGCACCCATCTCAAATCCAAACATATCATGTCTTTTTGGGACATTTTAGGGGTTGTTACAGAGCTGTAATTCATCTGCATGGTGTTACGTGGAGGTACAATAATGCCCTCTGTGTGTGTGTGTGCAGAAAACGATGAGCAGCAGCATAGTGCGGAGGCTCAGTATTCCAGAGTGTATTTTGTTGATCACTCAGAGGATCACCAAGTACCCCGTCCTCATCCAGAGGATTCTGCAGCACACTAAAGGTACGAGTGAAGACACGTCCTGCATACAAAGGAATGCACTGTAACAGTGATTCCCCCAGAGACAGGGTGACTGCCTGCTCTGTGCTCCAGTGTGTGATCGATGTGTTCCTCTGTGCTCTGACAGACTCTGATGAGGACCACAGCTGTGTGTGTGAAGCTCTGCGCTGTGTGAAGGAACTCATCACGGCTGTGGACAGCAAAGTGAACGAGCACGGGAAGAAGCAGAGGCTGAAGGAAGTCTACAGGTAAACCGTCCACACTGTGACTTTAGAAAACTGATTCAATTCTAATTTCTGTTCCAAAGGGTCTGACGGAGCCCACCACAGAAATACAACAACAAAAAAACTCACAGTTTATAGTCTGAAGTTCAGTGGGGGCCTATGAAGATAATGTGATCAAAAGCTCCGGAGCATCAACCAAATAAACAAAAACAAATCGTAACCTGATGGAGTTCAGAGTGAAAATCGTTTTTTAATCACATTTTCCTCCTGTCAGCTGCTGCATATTTTAGAGATAGTAATGAAAGAAAATCCAGTAACCTTTGTTTTAATTGTTTTTCTTTCTTAGACAAGTAAAAGTAACTAAATCATGTTTTTGTTCTTAAACCAGTAAACAGAAAAGTTTTGCTTTCTAATTGACCATCTCAATACAAACTTGAAGCATTAACAACAGAACAAAGTGACAATAGTTCTCAAGCACACTTGTTATTGTGGAATTCTGCCCGCCCCCTTTGATAATTGTATCATTTAGGGGAAAAAAATTCCAGTTGCTTTTCTATTTTCTGGTCAAAGAAAGGACACTGAAACAAAGTCACACAATTAATTGCAAATCAAAAATAAGAGGATGAAGATACATTGAATACTGTATTAAATAGCCGACATGAGGAATGCCCAATGGCGCCTTTCTGGATGTGGACATGTGAACAAGAGTTCCAGAGTCAAGCAGCTGGATCTCTTGTACATTGATGTTTTTAATTATTTGTGACTCAGTGTGAAGTAGGGATGGGTACCGAGCCCCGGTATTAAACGGGCCCCGGGGCTGAATTATTAAAGACCGTGGTACCATTAAGCTCCGACGTTATCGGTCTTTTTATCGGTACTGGAGACATGTAAAATATATGTCATATGTATTATTGCTACTGAAACATTATATTGCAGTTTTAGTGTCGCCAACTCCGTTTTTAATATGCAAAAAGACTGCAAAATGCGTCAAATGCATTATTGTATTTTCAATCATATGTCCCTGGATAGGATCCTTGGTAAGCCAGATTCAAGACATAAGAAGCTTCTGTTTTAATACCTTTCTTCCACCCTTCTATATGGGGTGTAGGAGCCTAAGATTTAGACCTCTATAGGATTTTACAAAAACACTTACTGTTTAGAAAATTAAAATACAAATTCATTAGGATCTTACCTTTTCTTTGCTAAAATTGTTTCTAAAATACCTTATGAACTCTTAACCAAAAATTAAGTTAAAAAAACCACGCTCACATCCAACCTTGCTTGCCTATGCAGAGGACTTTTTCCCTTTCCTTTTGTTGATCTCCGTTTATAAGAGTAAATACTGCGATTTTTTGATCTCGTG